ATATGAATTTTACTTTGTTAGCCAGATCTTTCCACGAGTGAGGTAAAGCTATTTACATTTGTTGATTTGAGAAAAATGATTAACTTCAGTTCTACCATATTGTTTTATGGTATATTTTTATTTTTACTATGTATACAAAAGGTATGTTTAAAGACTTTAAACTATGTGTGCTACTTTATTTTTGCTCTTCCTTTTAATAAGTTTTTTTTTCTATAATGGTTACTGTATTAAAGATACTGTAAATTCTTTGGTATTTCTCCCATTGAGAGAGACAGTCTAATATTTCTCCTTAAATTTGGCCTGGCCTTAGTGACTTCTTGATTAATAGAATGCAGGAGAAATGGTGTTATAAGACTTCATGGCTAGATCCTAAGAAGACTTGCAGCTGCCATAAAGGTATCCTGAAATATTCTCCCTGGGAGCCAGAGATGCCATAAAAGAAGTCCAATTACCCTGAGACTACCAAGCTGAAGAGGCCATGTGTAGACATTCCAGTTGACAGTCCCAGTTGAACCCAACCTTCAAGTAAACCCTGACAAAGTGTCAGACATGTGAACAAAGCCAACTTGAATACTCTAGACTAGCCCTTCCATCCATCAGCTGAATACCATCCAATGACATTCGTTGGCATCATGTGTAACAGAAGAGTCACAAATTCCTAACCTGCAAAATTATGAGATAAAATAAAATGGTTGTGGTTTTAATTCAGTAAGTCTTGGAGTAGTTTGTTATGTGAAAACAGATCATTGGAATAGTTACCTTTATATAAAAATCTATTTTAATATACTTACTCCTTCTTTTTTTTGGCTACTATTTATTGGTTCCCTACTACGAGTAAGGAAACCCTGGTGGTGTAGTGGTTAAGAGCTACAGCTGCTAACTAAAAGATCAGCAGTTAGAATTCAACAGGTGCTCCTTGGAAACCCTATGGGGCAGTTCTACTCCTATAGGGTCACTATGAGTTGGAATTGACTCGACAGCAATGGGCTTTTTTACTATGAGTAAAGGAGCCCTAGTGGCTACAGTGGTTATGTGCTCAGCTGCTATTCCAAAAGGTTAGCAGTTGAAACCCACCAGCCACTCCAAGGGAGAAAGATGTGGCAATCTTCTTCTGCAAAGATTATAGCCTTGGAAACCCTATGGGGTTGCTATAAGTCAGAACTGACTCAAAGGCAGTGGGTTTGGTTTTAGGTTGGGATGATGACTATAATAAAAAAAAATAAAAACAGGTTTTGGGAGGATGCAGAGAAAGTAGAACTCTCATACACTGCTGGTGGTAATGTAAAATGGTATAGCTGATATGTAAAACACAGTTTGGCAGTTTCTCAAAAAGTTAAACACAGAGTTCTATGACCTAGCAATTCCACTCCTAGGTGTATGTATACCCAAGAGAATTGAAAACATATGTTTACACAAAAACATGTACTTGAATGTTTATGGCAACATTATTCATAATAGTGAAAAAATGGAAACAATCCATTGTCCATCAAGTGATGAATAGATAAACAAAATGTGGTATAGCTATATGTCCTGGATTGAATTGTGTCCCCTCAAAATATGTGTTAATGTTGGCTAGGCTCTGATTCCCAGTATTGTATGCCTGTCCTCCATTCTGTGATCAGATATAATTATCCTCCATTTTGTGTTGTGTTATAAATCCTAACCTCTATATGTTAATGAGGCAGGATTAGGTTATATTAATGAGGATTAGGTTATGTGTGTTATGTCAGTGAGGCAGGATAAAACTCAACCCTCTGTACGTGAAAGATGGGGAAGGATACTGGTAAAATTTAGTTTGGGCAAACGTGGGGAAAAGGTGTCTGTCGTACACGGGTTTTTGTTGTTGTTTTTTACTGTGCTTTAGGTGAAAGTTTAGTTTCCCATTTGATAGTTTGTACAGAAAGTGTTCCATGACATTGGTGGCATTCCCTCAATGTATCAGCACTCTCCCCATTTCTGCCCAGTGTTCTCCATTTCCTTTTGTCCAGATTTTCTACCCCTTCCTGCCTTCTCATCTTTGCTTTTGGACAAATGTTGTCCTTTTGATCACATATAATTGATAGTTCTAAGGAACACATTCCTGTCGGGTGTTACTGTTTATTTTATGGGCCTGTCCATGGTTTGGCTGAAAGGTGGTCTCTGGGAATATCTTCAGTTCCAGGTCAGAAGGGTGTCTTAGAGCCATAGTCTCGGGGGTTCCTCCAGTCTCTGTCAGACCAATAAGTCTGGTCTTTTTTGTGAATTTGATCTTTTGTTTTACATTTTTTCCCCCATTCTGTCCAGGACCCTCTGTGGTGATCCTAGTGAGAACGATTGGTAGTGGCAGCTGGGCACCACCTACTTCTGGTCTTGGGGTCGTGTAGGCTGTGGTTCATGTGATACACTAGTCCTTTGGACTAATTGCTCTCTGGAGTATTTAGTTTTCTTCACCCTCCTTTGCTCCAGATGGGAAGAGACAATTAGTTGTATCTTAGATGGCTGTTCACAAGTTTTTAAGACCCCAGATGCTACTCACCAAAGTAGTATGTAGACAATTATCATTATGAACTATGCTGTGTCAACTAATGTAGATGTCCCCTGAGTCTATGGTCCTCCACCTTTGAGCCTATGAACTTCATCGAGGTGTCTGGTTCTGTCTAAGAAACTTCTATGACTGTGCCCCTTGTGTGTTCTGTTATCTATATTAATATACTTGCAGCACCTACAATTATATATGTAGAAATATCCACAACCAAACCTATATCTGCAGGTGGGTATGCTCCCTTACACTCTCCCACACCTCTTTAGCATACTTATCTACCTATGTCTCCATTCATAGGTTACTGTTTGTTAATACTATTGTTGCAGGATTGTCTATGCTATCGTAATTATCATAGGGGCTCTTTATTCTTGCATTCCTTTCAGTTTCTTCCTTTGCCTTGGTCATGTTATGCTGACTTCCCCCATATTTTGTATTGCCTTTCCCTTCACCAATATTAACACGTGTCTTCTATCTAGTTAATAATTTTCCCTCCTTCCCCATTGCATCTGTGGTAACCATCAAAAGAATGTTTGCATGCGTGTGTGTAAATCTATTCTTGTTGTTTTGATAATAGTTGTCTCATACAATATTTGTCCTTTTGAGATTGACTTATTTCACTCAGCATAATGTCCTCTAAATTTATCCATGTTGTGAGATGTTTCATGGATCTGTCATTATTCTTTATCATTATATAGTATTCCACTGTGTGTATGTGTTTGTTTATCCATTCATCCACTGATGGGCACTTAGGTTGTTTCCATCTTTTTGCTATTGTCAATAATGCTGCAATGAACATGGGTGTGCATATGTCTATTCATGTCATGGCTCTTATTTCTTTAGGATATATTCCTAGGAGTGAGATCCCTGGATCATGTGGTATTTCTATTTCTAGCTTTTTAAGGAAGTGCTATACTGTTTTCCAGAGTGGTTGTACCAGTTTACATTCCCACCAGCAGTGTATAAGAGTTCCAATCTCCCCACAACCTCACCATCATTTGTTATTTTCTTTTTTTTTTAATTAGTTCTATTATTGTCGGGGTGAGATGGTATCTCATTCTCATCGTAGTTTGGATTTACATCTCTCTAATGGCTAATGATCATGAGCATTTCCTCGAGTGTTTGTTAGCCACCTGAATGTCTTCTCTGGTGAAGTGTCTGTGCATATCTTTTGCCCATTTTTTAATTGGATTGTTTGTCTTTTTGTTGTTGAGATGTTGAAGTTTTCTACGAATTTCAGAGATTAGACCCTTGTCAGCTACGTTGCAGCCAAAAATTTTTTTCTCTGTCTGGAGGTTCTCTTTTTACTCTTCTGGAGAAGTCTTTTGATGAGTATAACTGTTTAATTTTTAGGTCTTTCATACATTGTTGCTGTCAGAATACACTGGCACATACATTTTAGCAAGCAATTTAATAATATCTATCAAAAAAGATAAAGCACATATTCTATCACCCAGGATTTTTACTAGGAGGAATCTAGACTCAACATGTGGCTGGCATAGAGTGCTCAGTGCATGCTCTTTCCTATTGTAAATGTGATAATCATAAGAAGAGATAATAAATTATGCAATAAACTCCTGCAGCTAAATTTCACTTCTGCTTCATTTTGGAAAAATAGTAAGATAGTGTTTATACCACAGTATGGTATAACCATGAAATGTCTGCTCTTTTCATCTTTGCAAACTACATAAAGTAGAAATCTAAATTCTCCCCTAAAATATAAGCTCAGGTTTCTAGGGATTCTGAGTATATATACTAGCAGAACAAGAAAACTTCAGCCCAGTTAAAGATTCTCATACAAAGTTCTAGTCTCTTGCTAAAAGAGATGCTGGGGTGGGAGTAGATTGAGAGAAACTAAACAGAGCTTGAGCCTCAGCCAGACTCCATCAAGCTACAGAAAAGCCAAGAAATACTCATAGTGACTTACACATGAAGTCTCATGAAAATTAGCAGTGACTATATAGTGATTGACAAAATCAGTAAATACTGAAAGAAGTGCCTAATTGTACCTATATCTTTTTTTTTTTTTTCATTTAATTCTTTCTTCAAATGATGATATCCCTTTAAATGTGTGGCACTGTTAGTATTTGTAAACACTGTGTTCATCAAATAGTTTTCTCTATGCAGAAAAAGCCCATGGAGAGGAAAAACATGTCGGTCTACTTTTCCAATTAATCATACCCAGGCCTTGCAGCCTATGCAGACATTTCTTGAAGTCAGCTTGCCCAAATTGCAAGTACAGCACCAAGCAAGGAGAAATAGCTTCTGAAATCCAGTTCATAAGCTGAAAGGTGATGAGTGACAGCTAAACCTTCAGAATGTCATTGTAACATCAGTTCCCTGGAGCTGGTCTTGTGGAAGCATGGAGTGTCCATCAGCCCACATGCTGCCCACCCTCAACGTCTCACCCTCCTGCCCCACCTACACAGGATGGTGAGATAATGGTGGGGAGACAGGGATTGTGACATAAGCAAATATCCTCAGGCTGATATGTGTAAATAACAGGGCATGAGCCTCCCAGTAGGGACACCACCTGTGAAGGCCTCATAACAGCCAACCTGTTGCAGCCACCAAGCTGAAGCCTCATCAGGGGAGGAGGGACCCCTCTACTGGAGAAGTGACAGCAGGATCCTGGTAGAGGAGGCATCAAAAGTCCCAAGGGGCAGGTTGCAATCATGTAGGCACCATGGAGGCTGCTATGTGCGTTTGCTCTCCATGTTGTACATGGCAGAGATGTTGTCCTCGATTATGCTCCTGTCTGTGCTGCAAGTTCCTCTTCACCTCGGAGCGGAACTGCACCTGCTTCCCCTGCCCCTACAAGGATGAGCGGAACTGCCAGTGCTGCCACTGCACCTGCTCCGAGAACCCCAACTGCCACTGGTGCTGCTGCTCTTGGGCCAATGACCCGAACTGCAAGTGCTGCTGCACGGCCAGTAGCAATCTCACGTGCCACTACTACGAGAGCCGCTGCTGCCGCAACGCCACCGTCACGTTCAAGAAGGGCCGCCTCAAGAGCATCCGCACCTCGTAAGTGCCAGGGGTCTCCAACGTGGGGCCGTGCTGGCTCAGGACAACCAGGAGCCCTGTGCCAGCCGTGGGGCCCACAGCGCAGGCCAGGTACCCCCCGGGGCCATTTTTCCATCTGAAAAGAAAGAGACCAATAATTTTGAGCAATTAAACGTATCCTAAACAAGTGCTAACCACTTACAGACCTGAGTCCCAAATCCAAGCTCCACTAACTGTATGAATGAGCGCTCCGCTGGCCCGCAGCCTCCTCATCTGTACACAGTAACAGAACCGTGGCGAATACTGAGCGCTTAACTTGTAGGCACCACATGCATGACCCTGTTGAACCCTCCCACCATCTCCATTGTACTCATGAGGAAACCCAGCCTTTGAAGAGGCAATGTTTCCCAGGATCACACAGCTAGTAAGACGCAAAGTCAGGATTTGAACCTAGAGTCCATGCTCTGAAATTTAAAAGGCCGTACTGTAGAATGGAAAGAACAATACCTGCCATGATGTGGTGGGTATGAGGGCATGCTTTGTAATCTATTATGTGCTTTAAAAATAGAGATTGCTCTTCCCCTTCCTCCTCTGTTATTGCCATCATTTATTGAGCAAGTGATGACTTCCATGGGCCACCTGTGACCCCTATGGCCTATATAGGCACCTTGGCACTTGTGACTCCTGCCAGCTTTCCCATCCAGAAATCTTCACATTTAGGGTCTCAATTACCCATTTGGGGCATTAACCCTCCATGACAGGCATTCTGTATCTTCTTCCTGGTTTGGTCAAACCAGTCTTTCTATATCACAGATGACGGAGAGCACAGGCAAGGAAGGGCAGACATCTTAGAGGGGGAAAGATCAAAGCTCATCCCTATAAAGTGGCAGGACATGGAGAGGCAGAGAAATAGAAAGCAGGATTGAGGCCTTTTGAGGCTGGAAAAGCACTTCTGTGAGCAAAGGTTCAGTGAATTCAGGGTAGAGGACTATGATCTATCCGGCAATTATGTACTCAGTAGAGGCTTAATGAATGTTATCTTTACCCATGGACTTCTTATTGGTGTTTGCATGAATGCAGGGATTCTGTATGCAAGTCAGGAAGTTCTAGGGTGTGGAAAACAGTATCCACAATCCCTCTCCTCTCAACTGCCCTGTTTTCTATGTATCAGCAATAAAGAGTTTCTGAGCCCATTTCAATGGAGGTGGGATGAGATTGACTGGTGCTTTGGGGAAATGACTCAGGCTAGGGACTTCCAAACTTTGTTGTGCATTAGAATCACCTGGAGACAGGGACATATAGGAAATGCAAGAAGCCAAAGCAGAAGGGAACAGTCACAGTGTCAAGATCAAAATGCAATCCTTATCAATGTCAACAGGGGTGACACGATAGGTATAGTCACAAATTATATTTATCCCTCCATTCCCACAGCTAATTCATTTCTTTTCACATACTGCTTTTGCCCTGGTTGTAGCTTCTTAGAACATCCACTTGAATTTTACAAGTGTACTTTTACCTCAGGCATTTGGCATTACGTAAGTAGACAAAGACTCTAGACACATACACACAAAACAGTAGCAGCATACACTTTTCATGGACTTGACCACTGTCTTCCTCCACTGTGGACATTAGATGACTAGAAACAGAGGAAAGTAATTATAATGGCCACATTTATTGAACGCTTACTACGTACCAGCAGTTAAGCACTTATCATGGATTATTTTATTTAGATTTTGTAAAAATCTCATGAAGGAAGTATTATTGTGAGCCTTGATTTAACGATGAGGAAGCTGAGGATGGGGGTGGTTAAGAAACATCTTAAAGGTGCAACTCTAAACTGGTACATTCTATCACATGCGATCTTCCCTTGGAGCCCAGGCTCTGAACATTACCTACTGGTCTGGTGGTTGGAACACACAGGTTCTAGGCTGTTGACTCCTGTCTAGCCACTGACCTCCTGATGTCCTGGGAAAAGCCTTTTACCTACCCTACTCTGTGTTTCATCCTATTTACAATCATAATAATAATCTCAGTACTCTCCAGGCAAAACCTACCAATAGCACACCTGTAGTTGTGGTGCAATGGTTAAGCACTTGGCTGCTAGCCAAAAGGTCGGCAGTTCAAATCCACCAGCTGCTCCTTGGAAACCCTATGGGGCTGTTCTACTCTGTCCTGTAGGGTCGCTGTGAGTCAGAATAGACTCGGTGGCAACGGGTTTTTTTTAGTTGAACAAAACTGGATTTATTGACTAACTGCAACAAGTGAGAGCATATACCATAAGGAACTGTGAGGTATCTCTATAAAAAGACATTAATAAGTTATAGGATTTGGGCTAATGTTTGGTGAGAAAGTGGGTCTCTTACTGGATATCTTAATAAATCTTACCTTGAATGTGGAAAGAACAGAATGAGTGTAAAGCTGCAGCTGGGAAAGAAGCAGCAGTCACCCCTATTAGACAGGGTAAGGGAATGTGTGGTCATTTTTGTGGTTTGGACAATGTTGATTTTGTCTGAGTTCGGACATGACTATGGAGTTGCCTTGTTTCTATTTGGCTCCATCACAGTAACAGAGAGGCTTTGTCTGATGTTGGTGTTTGGTGATATTATTTATGTCCAACAGAAGAACACCAACATCCAACTGATAGTGCAGGCCAGGGCTACATGTCAGGGCCTGCTTTTCTCTTGCTCAAAAATAACCAGAGCAACAACAAGGGCAGTTGTACAGCACACACTGTGTTCCAGGGACTTCTTTAAGTCCTTACAGGTATGAACTGCATTTTTTTTTTTCAAGAAAGGTATACTATGGTACTAGTTTTGTAATGAGGGAACAGGCAGAGAGGGGTTAACTAACTTTCCTGAGGTCACCCAGCTAGCATGTGGTGGAGGCATGTTCAGAACCCAGGCAGTCTGGCCACTGAGTCCATGCTACTCACCATCACACTGGACTGCTGTTCAGTGACCCCAAGCTCCTTTCAAAGTCCAAGGAATGGAGCGAGCTCTTGAGGCTGCCTCCTGAAGCCTTGGGTTTGCTTTCACTTTCAGTTCCAAGACCGCCTTGCGCATCGGGAGCAGCGATTCCCAAGCTGAAGACATCACCAAGCAGGTGCCAGGAAAGAGCAACCTGGTCGACCATCTCACCTGCCCCATGTGCAACCGGCTGCGCCTGCATTCCTTTATGCTGCCCTGCAACCACTGCCTGTGCGAGAAGTGCCTGCGGCAGCTGCAGAAGCATGCGGAGGTCACTGAGAACTTCTTCATACTTATCTGCCCCGTGTGCAACCGCTCGCACTGCATGCCCTACAGTCACAAGATGCAGCTGCCGGAGAACTACCTGCGCGGGCACCTCACCAGGCGCTACATGCAGGAGCACGGCTACCTCAAGTGGCGTTTCGATCGCTCGACCGGGCCCATCCTCTGCCAGGTCTGCCGCAGCCGGCGCATCGCCTACAAGCGCTGCATCACCTGCCGCCTCAACCTGTGCAACGACTGCCTCAAGACCTTCCATTCGGACGCGGCCATGCAGGACCACGTCTTCGTGGATACCAGCCCCGAGGACCAGGACGAGAAGATCTGCATCCACCACCCGTCCAGCCGCATCATCGAGTACTGCCGCGGCGACAACCAGCTGCTCTGCCACTTCTGCAAGACTGCCTTACACAATGGCCACGACACCATCAGCCTCATCGACGCCTGCTCGGAGAGGGCCGCTGCGCTCTTCAGCGCCATCGCCAAGTTCAAAGCAGGTCTTGGTCCCATTCCAGTCCCCACCCCTCCCCCTCTACCGGGATAACACATAGTTCAGAACTGATCGGGAAAATTGCTTGGGACAGTCTGTTTAGTGAGAGCCTTACCTCCACTTGGTGGAGCGTCCCAGGTACTGGAACACACTAAGCTAACCTCAAAGCTGCCTAGAGGTCCACATCTGGCAACTACCTCCAGCCATTTCATCTATCTGTGCCTTGGTTTTCTCATCTATAAAATGGGGATAATAGTAGTAATGCCCTCATTGGGTTGTTGTATTAAATTGGTTACTCTATGTGAAACATGCAGAAGAGTTATCTGGCATATAATAAGTGCTCAAAAATCTATCATCTTTGTTATAATCTTCATGTCCTCAGGACTCATTTTCCCCATTGAAAAATGAATGGTTTGATCCCTCAGAACCTTGAGTTCTGTGAGGCTGTCCAAGTGTTTTGTTACTAAAGTTGGATTGATTCAGTACTTTTCCATTTGCAGGGGGAAAGAATTAAGTCAGTGTTGGGAAGTATCTGAATTTTAAGTTTTCCCCCATGAATTGTTCCCAAAAGTTGCAAACAACAAAGTAAATGAACCAGTAGCAAACATACAATAACAAGAAAATTTGGAAATAGCCAATAATATTCTGTTTAACAGCTTGTTTTTCCTCTGCATACCTGCCCATGGTTATTTCATGTTTTTGTCATGTTAGTTGTCGTTGAGTTGATTTCGACTTAACGGCAACTCATGTATGGAGCAGTAGAACTGCTCCACAGGGTTCCCAAGACTGACCTTTGGGAAGCAGATCACCAGGCCTGTCTTTCAAGGTGCTTCTAGGTGAGTTCGAACCTCCAACCTTTTGGCGAGTAGTCAAGCATTTAACCATTTGCGTCACCCAGGGACTCCTTATTTCACATTGGCTACATATAATTTAGTTACTGCGTCTGTAAGGGAAACTGACCCAAGTTTCCATGATGAAATCAAGTAAAACAATATTTTACAAGGTTCAGAAAAGAGCCCCATGATTTCCAGGCATTTCTCCCCCTGATTAATAGTCCTGCAGTACTACATTAAAATCCCCACCGTGAATAAGACAATCAGGGTTCAAAGAAGTAATTGGCACAAGGCAGCTAGTAAATGCCCAACCCAGACTACGTGACTCTAATGCCCATGTCACTTTCACAACATTCAATTGACAAACTACTCTGTTCTACAGTGGCCAAAATCTAAAGAGAGAGAGATTAAACACACACAGGGAGAGTCTATTTCCTTAAGGCGTGGCCTACGGTCAAGTGGCCAAAGTGCACCAGGTCAACCCGGCCCTTCCACTTCCTCAGATAGTTTACCTTCCATCCTATAAACATGCCTGAACATAAGAGGGGGAGGCAACTTTTCCTTGAGCTGTGGATGCAGAGGTGTGTCAGAGATAGGCTGCTAACTGTCATGTCACCCAGGACCTCTCATCAACATGAATAGTTCAGGATTACCTTGATTTTCTCAATTGCCACTGGGAAAAATCTGGAAACATTATTTGTCAACTGGCATTTGCTCTGTTCTGGAACCACCAGGAAAGCCTCTATGTTAAAAACAAACCAACCTACAAGAGCCATGCTACAAACAGATGGGTAGCCTCACTGGCTCCTTAAGAATTTTCTTAAGGTAGGACTTACTGTGTGTCCACATCTGGGCTCTGCTGGGTTCTCTGGAGCCTCAGCATGGGGAAGGGGCTACTGCTGACCGCCCTCAGTGGCCCCCATGCAATTGCATGGGGGCCTGGGTCTTTAACACAGGAGAAGCCTACGACAGTTTTCTCAGAGTCCAGGGAACTTCAGACAGTGAAGTTCCATTCAGGGTAGGGGACACCAGTATAAAGACCAAGAGCTCAGCATTTAGGAAGGAGGCAGGGGCTACCTCCATGGCAGTTAGATACAGACAAAGAACTTAGCCTGTACATCATTACAGAAGGAACCAAAAACTTTTCTTTAACCAAGGTTCAAACTTACTCTTGAGGATTCTATTCACTCTCTGGGGAGGTGCCATGAATCTGCATTTTAAACAAATCTCCAAGTAATTTCAAAAGCAGGTGTCGAAGAACGTACTTTGAGAAACTCTGAGCCCTGGAGAAGATTCAGTTGGGGTTGATTGTTTAGAGCTGAGGGATCAACCCTGGCTGCACACGGGAGCCACCTGAGAGTTTTACAAGCTACTGATGCCTGGGTCCCACCCCACAGATTAATTAGTTTGGTGCATCTTGAGCAATGGAGTTTTTTTTAAAAAAACAAAGCTCCCCCGTGTGATTCTAATGTGCAGTCAAGGTCGAGAACTACTGGAATAAAGAGAGTTCAGAAGTTTAGCTCCTTGTTTTAAAGTGTGGTCCAAGGACGAGCAGTGTTGGCATCACCAGGGAGTAGGGACAGATTATCCAATAGGCAAGGTATGCACTGAGCTTACCTTGCTTACCAGATCATCTGTAGTGAACACTTCCACATTTTTCACCACATGGAAGATTCTGCTTCTAGGTATGGCTGGCATCTGTCTCTCTCCCAACCCCACAGCACCCTCCTACAGAATCAAAGCCTCTTTTCATATGTATAATCCCTGACAGGGATGGATTACCCAGTAAGCAAGGTAAGCATGGGCTTGCTTGTACTTACTTTCTACACAAGTAAACCTGTGCTTACCTTGCTTACTGGGTAATCCCACCTGCCAGGGAGCTTGTCAGAAACGCAGAATCTTGGGCCCCACTCCAAACCTATTGCATCAGAATCTGCATTTTTAACAAGATCCCCAGGAGAGTCCCTGAATTAGGTTCTAAACCTAGGTGCAAACTACCTTACCTATATTCCTGGGCCCCAGCTCAGACCAACTGAGTCTGCATTTCAGCAGGTGAGGTCAACAGAAGAGATTGTTTTAAATGCTCCCCAGGTGATTCTGGTGCTCACAGAGGGCTGAGAACAGCTGGAGCAATTAAGAACATGGCCTTTGGAGTCAGATATATAAAATTAGGAACAGGCCCAGGTATCTCCTATTTACTTGCTGTGTGACACTGGACAGTCACTTAACCTCTCTGAGCCTGTTTCCTCAAATATAAAGGGGAACAATATCTTCTTCATAAGGAAATAGGTATAATATATGATTATAATGGGCCTGGTCCATAATAAGGAGCCCTGGTGATGCAGTGGTTAAGTGCTCAGCTGCTAACCAAAAGGTTGACAGTTCAAACCCACCAGCTGCTCCATGGGAGAAAGATGTGGATATCTGCTTCTGTAAAGATTACAGCCTAGTAAACTCTATGGGGCAGTTCCACTCTGTCCCATACGATCTCAATAAGTCTGAATTGACTAGACAGCAACAGGTTTGTTTTAGTTTTTGGTCCATAATAAGTGTTTACCAAATAATAGCTAGTTTTAAGTGTACTGCCTGAAAGAGACCTTGATTTGACTTTGCTTTAAGACCACCTTTTGCAAAGATGTCATATTTGTAAGGTTTCGTGTCAAGGTGCTTCTGGCCGCCTTTCTCTTGTTTCCTCTCCTGGTGCCGACTCTTCCCCCACATCTAGGAGATTTTTGCCCTAACTCTGAGGACCCTGTTCTGCATAAACTTAACAAATCCCTAGTAAAGCAGGAAATTTCCTATCCAAGTATTTTTGACACTGGATAAGTATTGAAAAGTCAAAGAAATCAAGCCATAAAATGGAATTTTAGCTGCCATAAGTCAAAGTAGGGCTTGCCTTTGGGGAAGGCAGGGAGCACTTCTCAGCACCACTGAAGTCATACCCTGCTGGTTTCCTTCAGCCCCCACCAACGTCTCCTCCCACCTTTTCTGGGCCAATGTGAGAGAGGAGGTGGGCAAAGGAATGGGGGTTTCAGGAAGTAGGCCAGGAGTGACACTGCTGACATTCACCCCAAAGATGTTAGAAAACAGGCCAGATGGCTTTCACTCAACAAACACCTTTCAAGAACCTTCTACACACTCTAGTCATAGTGGTAACCAAGACAGGCATGGCCCCTGCTCTTGTGGTCTGACAGAACTCTAGGCTTTCTCTTATTCAAATGAACAGCATTATTACAATGACTACCACCAACAGAGGTACGGCCTCCTGTGGGCCCTGGACTATGTCAAGAACCAAATATAATAAGACTTGGTCATTCCCACCCCTGAGTAAGATTTGGTGGCGATTATAGCCCATCAATTCACTGCAGAGTTAGCCTTTCATGGGGAGGACCCTACCTATAGCATGAGCCACAGAAGGCTGACATGTCTTCAAACTGCTGCCTTAGACCCTTTAAAGCCAACAAAGATGTCCATTTCACAGATAGAGATGTGCAGCATGCTCACCCCGTTATAGCAACCTCCACACTGTAGTATTGTTATGTTCATGAGTGCTCTTGAGAACAGTTCCCTCTCATTTTCATATCTGTATCCTCAGTGCCTAGAAAGGCACATGGCATGTGACAGGTGTCCAGTAACTGTTTGCTAAATGACTGACTGAGTAAACTTAAAATTCAAATGCCAGGAGCAAGGATGCAGGATGAATTGGGTTCTCCTTGAAGTTTAGTAGCAGATCCTTTCTTGAAAGGAAGTGGAAATAAGGTAAGAGACAGAGCCCAACTAAATGACAAGAGAGAGAGAAGCCCCCAGTGGAGATGTAATGGCATAAAAAAGAGCTACCTCAATGAAGGGAATTTTGCTGATTTCCCACTTTTATCAAGGGCTGGCTTCCTGGTGAATGAGGCGAGGTATCATTTAGAAGTGGTCATCAGAAATTCTAGTTTTTTCTTCTATCCTGAACAAGTTTAACTTTCATAGAGGGAAAAGTAGGGCTAGTCACTTTGTGACATCACCTCTCCTCGCAAACCTCTTGCAAACAAGTAAAATCAGGTGAAAACCAGTATCAAGGGTGGCCTTGAACTTCCAAGCTGAGACCCAAGGCCTCAGAGATTACTATTACAGGATAGAAGTATATCAAGAAGGATAGCTGGTTATACCTGAGGCAAGTATTAAGCGAAGAAAGAAAGGAGGGGTATACTGATTTTATAAACCTATTCTAGGGTTTTTTAGCCCAACTTTGGTTCCTTCCCACCCTCTCCACCCACAACCTTGGAGCCCAAGATAATTTTCTCTGGTTGGCTACAGGCTTTATTTTTTTCAAATAAAATTTTAACTGAAGTAACTAACTTGGTTGTTTTGCAGTCCGATATGAAATTGATAATGACCTGATGGAATTCAACATTTTAAAAAACAGCTTTAAAGCTGACAAGGAGGCGAAGCGAAAGGAGATCAGAAACGGCTTCCTCAAGCTACGCAGCATTCTTCAGGAGAAAGAGAAAATCATCATGGAGCAGATAGAGAACCTGGAAGTGGCCAGGCAGAAGGAGATTGAAAAATATGTATATGTCACGACCATGAAAGTGAACGAAATGGATGGACTGATTGCCTACTCCAAAGAGGCACTGAAGGAGACGAGCCAAGTGGCATTCCTACAGTCAGCCAAGATTCTGGTGGACCAGATCGAGGATGGCATCCAGAGCACCTATAGGCCTGACCCACAGCTCCGGTTCCACTCCTTGCACTGCATGCCCTTGGACTTTGCTGAGCTCTCAAATGCCATCCATGATCTCTTCCCCTCAGGACCCAAGAAGGTATGCTCCTCAGGGGACTCCCTGCACGTCCCCTACCCCAGGCACTCAGAAATGATGATTTCCAGGAAGGTCACTTTCAGCACCCACAGCTTAGTCAACCAGCAGATATACCAGCAAAGCTCCTCCTTGCTGTCCCTCAACAACCCCAGTGAGAAAACCAAGGGGGGTCTGGAAGCCTACGGGCGAGCCCAGTCTGCCGCACCTGTTAAACATACAGATGGTCTGTACACCTATTGGAGTGCAGCACCAGAAAGCCAGTCTGTGCAGAACAGCAGCAGCTTCCACAACTGGTACTCATGCAATGATGGTTCTGTGAAGACCCCAGGCCCGATTGTTATCTACCAGACTCTGGTATATCCCAGAGCGGCCAAGGTAAGAAAATTTCTGGCCCCACCCCATGAGGATGGTAGCAGAGCGGAAGAGGGTGGAATGGAAGTGGATATTTGGGAAAGGTTGCACTTGCCTCTTTGACACCTGAGGCCTGATTATTCAAATCTACCCCTCTGGAGTCAGTTCATTCAAAAGGGATAAGTTCCTGAAATCTTAAGTAGCCCAAGATTGGGTTAAACTAAGCAGTCAATTTATTTAACTATAGTCAGAAATACATCTGAAAGCCCCAACCTCATCCAAAAGGCAACGAGAAGATTCTCTTTCAGAAGGGAAGCCAACTTGGGAAGTCAAAGTAATCTGAAGGGACTGCTTGGAGAGTGTAATATCTCCCAAAGGAAAGCCTGAAACAGTAGAGAGAGCTCAGAAATTGGAGTTAGAAATACAGGTCTCGTTATCTATCAGCTAAATTGTTGCCTTTTCTAAAGAAAATATCCAGACTCTGCATGATTTGGAAAGATTGGAAGGATAATCCCCAATGGAATTCCAACTCATCTTTTGAGATTCAGTATTAGCTGGGGAGCAGAGGGCAGTCTTTCAACCTGGGTCCCAAGGCCTCAGAGATTACTATTACGAGATAGAAGTATGCCAGGAAGGATAGCTGGTTATACCTGAGGGAATTAAGAGAATAAGGAAAGGAAGAGTATACTGAGGGAGGCCAAATTCAATTCATTCTAGATCTCTACAACTGCCATCACACTGGTCTCAGGAGTCATACTCCTCCTTAACCCTTTTGGCCTAACATGGACAAATGGCCTTTCCTTTAATGTGACTTTTCAAATCATAAATTGAACTATTTACAGAATACTTTATTAAAATTTAGGGAAGAAAACAGATTAACATGCAACTAGGTATTCTATTAGAACTCACCTTGCATTCTCTTGGGTTTCCCTACAGGGATGCCTCCCAGACCAGCCCATGTGACAGGGCCCATCATATGCCTCCATAATCTGAGAACACCTCCAAAGACTTTCAGGATCCTTGAAGTCTAAACTAGTGCTTCTCAAACATTAATGTGCACCTGGGGATCTTGTTAAAAGGCAGATTCTGTTTCAGCAGGTTGCAGTGGGGCCTGAGGTTCTGTGTTTCTAACAAGCTTCCAGCTGTTACCAGTGCTGCCAAGTCTGCAGATCACAATTTAGTATCAAGGGTCTAAAATCCTGAAAATGAAGGCCAGAGACAGACAAAACTCTACTTTTCCTGAGACATCATAATCTGTTTTGGGGTCTATAACTGACACTAAGAACAACCATACTTTTCAGGGTAAAACATACCCTTTCACGGGCTATCAGAACACAACAAAGTATCTCTGCCCTTCACATAAGAGATGCCCATGCCAAGCAGTTGAACCTTCATTTCCGAATGATGCTGGATCAGTGTATGTGATATTAGCTCAGGGATGGCATTAGGTCTCATCTCCATGTCAACTCTGACCTCTTGGGAAGTTGGCAGGATCTTGCTCTGCAGAGAAAGGACTGGTGATGTCTACCCTGTACTTGAGCTTGGCGACTAGTCATTCCATGCCACCTGTTAGGCATTCATGGATGAGCTCAAAATGGGCTTACACAGAAAAACTTAGTCAAGTAATTGTGTGTGACTCTTGGCTGTCAACAGTGGATACCTAAACCTACCACCAAACAGTAGATTCAATGTAGAAATATCATCAATCCCTATTTTAAGATCGTGGAATGAAATTCATGAGTGAATCATACTGCTAAATAATACAAAAGATTAAGTCTATGTTGACATCGTTCTCCAATGATGGTTGACTAATGCTCCTCTTTAGGATTTTGGCATAGGAAAAATATTTTTTAAATTAGTCTTATAACTCGTCAATATGCAATAAAAAATCCTAGAGTTTTTTTTAAACCTCATAATTTTATTTCTAGAAATCTCTCCCAAGGAAATGATTAAAAATTTAGATTACGATTCATACCCAAAAATGTTCATTGCAGCATTATCTATTAGAGTAGAAAATTACAAACAACCTAAATGTTCAACTACAGAAAGATTAAATCATTTATGTGGTACTTATTAAAGCTGGTGCTTTAATGATAGGGGAAAATATATAAAATATAGTAAGTAATAAAAAGCAGGGATCAAAGCAATATTACCCAAATTTTATATATTTGTGTGTGTGTATGCATGTGGATAGATAATAGATTGATACATAGATACACAGATAGACATATACATATCTACATATATATATATTCCAAAATTGGGAAGAAATAATAATGACTTATTAACTGAATACTAGGATTATAAGTGATGTTTATTTTTTTCTTTATACTTCTCTGTATTTCCCGAGTATTTTACAATTTGAGCATCTTGTTTCAATAATCAGAAAAAAAAAGTCAATTTCTATGAATAAGATTTATAAATTTATGAAAAATGTTTTACTGTAAATATAGACAAGTCATTATAAATTATGTAAATTTATAAACATTTATAAATTTATAACACTAATTATAAATTACTCTTATAAAATTATAACATTGAAATTTATTAAAATTTTAATAAAAACATGAGACATCTGTTTGAAAATACAATTATTATAAAATACTTATATGCCAGGCATAATCTGCTAATTGATATTTGTTAATGTATCTCCTCCCAGGAGTTGATAGTCTATGCTTTGAGTGTGAACATATACTCTCCATTAATTAAATAAGTCATCTTACCTCTCTGGAACTCCATTTCCTTGTGTATAAAATACTTACACACACAGAGGGTTGGAATAGATATATTTTTCAGCTTCCAGTATTCTACGGTTCAACTGGAACTCATTAAATATAAACTTTCTGAGCCTCGTTAATATCTATATTCTGCATTCTATAATAATAATTCTATAATAATATCTATAGTCCAAGGGGCCACCATATGTCTGTCAGTTTGTGGTACTGTGGTGGCTTGCCTGTTGCTGTGATGCTGGAAGCTATGCAGCCGGTATTTCAAATACCATCAGGGTCACCCATGATGGACAGGTTTCAGTGGCGCTTCTAGACTAAGACAGACTAGGAGGAAAGACCTGGTGGTCTACTTCTGAAAAAATTAGCCAGTGAAAATCTTATGAGTAGCGGCGGAACGTTGTCTGATATAGCGCCAAAAGATGAGCCCTTCAGGTTGGAAGGTGACAATACATGGACAGGGAACTGCCAGAAATTCAAGCCAGATTCAGAAGAGGACGTGAAACAAGGGATATCATTACTGATGTCAGATGGATCTTGGCTGAAAGCAGAGAATACCCCAAAGATATGTTATGGATAACATTGTGGAGAACGGGAATTCCAGAATGCTTAATTGTGCTCAAGCGGAACCTGTACATAGACCAAGAGGCAGTAGTTCAAACAGAACAAGGGATCCTGAGTGGTTTAAAATCAGGAAAGGAGTGTGTCAGAGTTGTATCCTTTCACCATATTTATTGAATCTGTATGCTGAGCAAATAACCCAAGAAGCTGGACTATATGAAGAGGAACATGCCATCAGGATTGGAGGAAGACTCTTTAACAACCTGCGATATGCAGATGACACAACCTTGCTTGCTGAAAGTGAAGAGGACTTGAAGCACTTACTGATGAAGATCAAAGACCACAGCCT